CCCTTTCCTTTTTCAGGAGTTGGGGAGCCAGTGTGCACCTCTGTCTCCAGGTCTCCGGGAGCCTCTGGTCCCTGAAATATGAGGTCTTTCTAAATGATTAGGATTTTGGGGGGCTTTTTGCTTAAGTTCTGAACCAAATCCTAGAGCAAGCTGATACTACTGAATAATCTGGAGGATAAAAAATGGTGTATCGATAAGTGGAGGGTCAATAAGTGCTAGATTACGAGAGATTTAAACTAGTCACACACACCCATTTTTAGACTTTGTATTTTACTGCATATGTCCTTCATTTTTAATCAATAAAGAGTAAATTGTTTAAAAAAAGCATGGAAATATCTGAATTTTAAAACACTCTTGAATTGTAATATTTACTGTCACCCATGACCAAGTGTTTTGTAATTTTTAAAACAATGATCCTTTTAAATCTGCAGTGTGCACATTTGGATGTCCTCGTTATGGTAACAATTAGTCACTCCTGGCAGCGAGCTGATTCTGATGCACAGTGATCTTATTGGACAGGAGAACTGCCCCCATGGGTGTCCGAAATGGTAACTCTTTACAGGACTTCTCCTGCCCGGCAGTAATAGTAATAGAGAAATTACATAAAAACTCTAGCACCTGCCATCCGTCTTTGACTTCCTTGTGCATAAATTGTATAAGATCTTTGACTTCCTTCTGATTTCAGTTTTAGAAATGAAAGTCACCCCCCCCCACCCAAACACACACAAACAATACTTCCATTGCGTTGATTCCAACTCGTAGTGCCCTAGATAGAGGTTCCCAGATTGTAAATGTTTAAGAAATCACATAGCCTCATCTTTCCCCCTGGGAGTGACTGGTGGGTTTGAACTGTCAGTTTAGCAGTTAGCAGACCGACACTTATGCAACAGTGCCACCAGGGCTCTTTATTCTGAATACCTTTCTTTAATTCAGAGGAACCCTGATGGTGTTTACACATTGGGACGTGATCCCCGTGGTTGGCAGTTCAAAGCCAGCAGCAGCTCCACAGGAGAAAGGCTGGACTTCTACTCCTGTACAGTTACAGTCTTTAAAAACCCACAGGGGGTCTCTATGAGTCAGCATTGACTCGATGGCAGGGAGTTTGGTTTTGATTTGTAATTCAGCATGGACTCTTCCTAAGAATGCTATATGCTTTTACTTATACTATTCAATCCGGTCTCAACAACTTTTCTAGGCTGTTCATCTCCCCATTTTGTAGAGAAGAAAATTAAGTAATTTGATCAAGATCCAATATCTCTTCGGTGGTAGAGTGATGTTAGAGCCTGGCCCACATGGCTCCCATGTTCTGTCTTCCATCGCCGCAAGCGGCAGAGGTGGAACATCAGTTCAGACATACAGCAGATCCCCAATAACAGAATCATTATGCCCCGTACCTGCCTGTGCGCTGAAATACGGCAGTGTGGTGGGCACATGCATTGAACTTAAGGTGACCAGATGCCCTACTTTTGGTGGGACAGTCCAGATTTTTGGCATTTTTAAAAAGTCCCGATTTTTGGAAAGAATGCACGACAAGCTAGGGAACGATCTATTTGGTCCAAATAGACCAAATTTTTAATCAAGCACACACACCCCCCAGTCAATGGTGTCCCGCTTTCAATCTGGTCACCTTACAAGGGAGTAAAGGCCTTGGACCCTGGTGAACACTAGCAAGTCACAGGGCGAAAACTAGGGCAAGTAAATGAAAAACAAAACTTTCAGAACCAAATTTCAAATTCTTATGCACTTCACACTCAGACTTCTGGAGCCAAGGAGACTAGGTTACCCATGACATAATAGTTAAACTCTAAACCAAAAATATCCCCTGAAGTCTTTTAAAAATAGTTTTTAGTTGAACTAGTAAACGTAACCGTTGGTGATCAGCTCAGGTGTGGGGTGTTTGACTGAGTGGCTTCATCCCCTCAGGTGGGAGGGGCGGGTCTACTGACTGGGGTGGCTCAGTCGGCTCCAGGGGCTCAAGAGCCTCCTTTTCTGAATCATCAACCCTTATGTTTCCATCCCAGGCTTCAGGATCCCATGACTTTCCGGTGAATGCCCTTAGTTTAATATCAGACACTGTTCTACTACACCTACAATTCAGCTGATGCTGTAATTCAGCTACTCATATGATGAGACTCTGGATTTGGTTTTCAGCAATGTCAGCTCTATTATTAGAGGAGAGCAGGCTCTCCTTTGTAGCACCTGCTGAAGCTTTTAGGTCTGTTATTCGGCACTTGAGACATGCTTCTGAGGTGCTGAGATTATCCCTTTCCTTGATCACATTTTCTATTGTAAGGAGGACCAGCCAGCCAGCTTCCCTATACTTCTCCTCCTGACAAAACTGCTCGAAAATATCAAACATACAATCACCCAGAACATTTCTTCTCACCAGCACTTCATCAATTGGTGGTGACACTGTGGATATTAGCTTTGTGACTTCACACCATGGATTAACACCACCCTTTCTAGTAAGAGTGGTAGATTTATCCATGCCTTTAGGGGTAGAGATAGCATTTGTTCAGTGCTGTTAAGCCTAATCAGGCTGAAGAGCCAATTTGAGAAACCCATATTTACGATCTTGTTTCTCTAGAACAGGTTTTCTCAACCTGTGGATCGTGACCTTTTTGGGGGTTGAATGACCCTTTCACAGGGTTCACCTGATTCATAAAAGAAAAATTACAGTTATGAAGTAGCAATGAAAATAATTTTATGGTTGGGGGGGTCACCACAACATGAGGAACTATATTAAAGGCTTGCAGTATTAGAAAGGTTGAGAACCACTGCTCTAGAACCACTCCAGGTACCAATTTTATTAGACATGGTTCTCTAGAGAAACAAAACCAGGACACTAATGAGTAGATGGATAGATGGATAGATAGATAGATACAGCACAAAGGAATATAACAGCTAATTAGTCCAGAAAGCGGTAAGTACAGAGGGCTCACTTCAACTTACGAGGGCTGCTGGGTCCAAGATCAAGGCAGTAGACAGGTGAGTCTTCCCTCAAGCAATGCAGGCAGTCCAACCACAGGCAGCAAACAGCAGAGCAGGTCACCAACAGTCAGCAGCTCAGGAGCCTAGGGAAGCAGGCCCGGATGGGATATCAAACTCAAGCAATGCAAGACAACAGGATCCTACAGCCTCAAGCTCAAGCGATGTACACACCAACAGTATGGTAAAGCAGGTCTCGAAGGAACCTCAAGCTTTAGCTACACAATCCACAGTCGGCTGTCCCACAGGTAGTGTAGCTCACAAGTTGAGGCAGAGAACTAGCTAAAGCAGCCACGCACTGTTCTGATCACCAGAGAGCAAGAGAGAGGGGGGCAGGCCTTGCCGAACCACGTATCTCTTTGACTTCCAATCAGACTGCAACCTTATTAATCCCACATGTTCCTAATGGCCAGGTGGGCACAATAAACCTACCTATCACATCTACCTTGAATGTTATTCTCTTTTAAGATCTATCTGAAACGAAACCAAACCTGATGCCATTGAGTAACGGTGCCCGTAGGGTTTTGAACCTTTAAAGGTGTGCAAAGGAGAATGCTGCATCTTTCTTCTGTGGAGCTGTGGGTCTTTCCGCTAGCAGCCCCGTGATTAGCTGCTGCACTACCAGGGCGCCCCAGGACTACCTCTGTGGGGTTACAGTGACAAGAGCAACTCAAGAGACTTGATCGGAGCCTTAAGGGGCAGCATGCACCGGGGAGGGCCTCTGAAAAATGGAGCGTGAGAAGGGCTGCAAACTTGAAGCCTGTAATTAGTGCCCCTGCAATGGACGTGTAGAAACTTGAGCTGTGTGTTTGCAGAGTATGTTCCCATGACAAGATAACACAAACATAACAATAACAACAAAAAACTTCATTTCAAAACTGAATGTTTCCTAAAAAGGTGTATCTTTGAGTGAACCAAGCTTAAGATTGAATATACCAATTTTTTAATTTGCAGTGTTTATTTTGTTCTTTAAAATCAACCTGTATATTGTTTCCTCATAGCTATTTTATCCTAAAGGAAAAATGCACGACAGTAACAGCAGTTTAAATATTCACTATAGAAAAATATTTCTTCTCCACCCCCACCCCCAAGGGGGAGGAACAACAATAACGTGGGTGAAGGGAGACAGCAGTCAGTGTTAGATATGTAAATAATAATAATTTATAATTTACCAAGGGGTCACGAGGGGTAGGGTGGGGAGGGAAAAAAGAGGAGCTGATAACAAGGGCTCATGTAGAAAGAACATGTTTAGAAAATGATGATGACAACATGTGTACAAATATGCTTGATACAATTGATGTATGGAATGTTATAACAGCTGTAAGAGCCCCCAATAAAATGATTTTTTAAAAACAAAAATATTTCTCATTATCTTTTTCTTTTCTTAACTTACTATTATATTTAAAAGCTATTATTACATTTAAAGATGAATGAGCCAGAATGTATTAAAAAGATGTTTAGCAATTTTAGGAGAAAGGTACTAAATCAATAAAGGATATACTTACTGATACTATTTTATAATTATTTGTAGCTAAAAATGATTGTTTCTTAACTATTCTGAGATGCGCTAGGACAATAAATTATTCTGAAACAAAAGACATATATATCTCACTTTGCTTTATATGTGACCAGTACAATTAAGGAACCATGTGCAATCGATGTTATTTAATATTAAGATACTGTCATGTCAACTATTCCCTATACAAAGTATCATTCCATTTGCGATTGACATAGTTGCAAGTCTATAATATGATTAGCTCAAGTAGTCTTTTAAAAGACTATAGTCTTTATTTATTTTTAAGACTATAGTCTGAAAAGAGCTGTCTTTTGGCAAATATTCCAACTCTTAGCCACCATTTCTTTTCTTCCTCTTCCTGATAGGATAGCTGCAATTTCTTTTAAACGAGTGAGAAGATGTTGTACTGGCTGCTTGCTACCTAGGGAGAGACTCTAGGAATGCTTCCGTGTATCTCAGCGGTGGTTTGAGTAATTGTGGATCTCTTTATTTTCAGATGATTTGAAAGGAGAGCTAGATGACTATGTCCAAAAGCATCTTCCTGGGAAAACGAAAGTATTAAGGAATGAGAAGCGCGAGGGACTGATTCGAGGACGAATGATAGGAGCGGCTCACGCGACAGGTACCATGAGAGTTCGCTTTGCTCTAGGAGACCGGCCGGCCCGGCTCTCCCTGCTGCGTGGTTCTGGCCCAGCAGAGGCCTGGGAACGGGAAGGCCAGGTAGGAAGAGGGGCGAACCCTTTGGGAAAGACCTTTTCATAACTAAACCCACTGCCCCTAAGCGCAGGTTTTGAGGGGAGCACCGTGCTCTTATCGGCCTGTTTTCAGTGGCCCCTCCTGCTTCTTGTTGTCAGACGCAGTCAATATAGTTCTAAGCCCTAGTGACACGTGTCATCCTACCACAGCATCCTGCACGACCATCACCACTGGGGCTGTCTGAGGCCACGGTCTCAGCCACTGTGTCAACCCATGTTGTTGACCCTCCTTCTCACTGACCCACTACTTTAGGAAGCATGGCATCCTGCCCCAGGGGCTGATCCCTCCAGAGAACCTGTCCAAAGTATGTGAGGAGAAGAGTATTTGAGAGGCAGTACTCCCAATGAAGGGGAGCCAACAGTATGTGTAAATTATCTAACAATGTCCTCAATAATCGCCACAAATAAAATTTTGCTAAACATATTTCAAAAACAATTGCAGCGGTACACTTACAGAAAATCACCAGAAATTCAAGCTGGATTCAAAAGAAGACATCGAATGAGATAGATCTCATTACTGATGGCACATGGATCTTGAATGAAAGCATAAAATACTGGAAAGAGGTTCGCCTCTCAAAGATACATTATGTTTTGTCCACTTACATAAGCAGAAAATGTACCACTACAATATAACCACATTTTACCTCCCCACCCCCAGTGTAAACCTCTTTTATTGCCATGGAAACACTTGAAACTCAAGTGGTGCAGAAGTGATGGGAAGACGGGCCAACAGCTTCTTCTCTCAGCAACTCACTATACAGGTCAGCGCGGGGCTAAGAGTGGAAGGAAAAGCCAGGGCAGAGGAAGCCGATGGTTTCTTAAGAGAACACTCAAGGCTGTGTTGTGATGGCTGGGCCTTCCTTGGGGTTAAATCACTACAAACAGCAACTGCAATTTAAACGTTCAGCTAATGTTCTTAACATTTAAGAAATGGTAGAGCTTTGAAAACTTAGAGATCTAGCCTGGGCAGGGGGGTGGATGTGGTGTGGGGGGTGGCGCGCAAATAGATCACATTTCTCTCCGTCTTCAAGCATCTCATGCAGTGCCCCACACAGGTCTGGCCCCACGGGAAGGTGCAGGGAAGATGGTCCCCCCCTGTATTCCTGTGACATTGGCAAACACTGACCCCTGGCCCAGAGCAGACCACACTTTTCTAAAATTGTAAGACAACATTTAGATACGAGTGCGCCACACTATTAGATTTGAATTAGACCACTATTTCTTAAAGTGTGGACTATATACCTCTGGTGACAGGTATTACAATTTCTACTTGGTAACAGGATATAGCCTGAAAAAATGAGTTGCGTAACAGTAAAGGTGTGCTGATTTTACTAGTTCTCAGTTCTTCTGACGTCAAGAGAAAGGTGTCTTTCTAAGTTGATAGAGCTTTAAAGCTTTCCAGCTTATGCATCTTCCCTTTTTTAAAAAGAAAGCTGTCTTGTGCATAAAATACACCTTTGTGTAAGTTTGGCGATCTTAAAACATTAACAACAATAACAAGAAACATACTCATAAAATAAAATATTCAAGTTGAAGCAAATGAATCAATCTAAACATTATGCATAATTACAGGTAATGTATAATAAATACTGTGAACGTTTTGGAAAGATACTCTGAGTCTGTCTGTGCGTGGTGGGGCGTGCCTCCACTGAGTCCCCAGCAGTGACAGCAAGCTCCTCGTCCCTGTTCACTCCTTCCACATGACCCGGTGCTCGGGTTTAGGTGGTTGGCCCTGCCTGCCGTCAGCCCTCCTCCTCCTTTAATCCCATAGGCTCCATGAAACTGATGATTTCCCTTTCAGAGCCTTGCTTCCTCCCCTTCTTTCCCTTAAATGTGTACCAACTAAATGTATGCCGGCTAATTTCTCCCACCCTCTTTCCCTTAAATGTATACTAAGTGTGTACCAACGACAGTACTTTCTTTTTAAAATTTCTAGACAAATACAGATGTACTGCACTGACCATGTGGAGTTATTTAAGATAACTAGATGCAGACAAGTTGGAATTGTGGAGGCATTTTCAAGATTGTGCCACTTGAAACGTATTCTTACAATGTATGGTTATTGTGAGCTTGGTTTTTCTCTAGGTAACAATAGATTTTTAAAACCTTATTAATGGTTCCTTTTAACTATGGTAGGGGTGGTTGGGGGGAAATGGGGAGCTAATAACGCTGAGTATAAGAAGGAAGAAAATGTTCTAAAACTAATTGTGGTGATGATTGTACAATTCTTGATGTGATTGAACTATGAATTATATGTGAATTATATGCCAATAAAATTATTGAAAAATCAATAAAAGTCCTTTCATATGGAGAAAAAAATAAATATCATATATTAGATTTTGTTGGCATGCCACCAGGTTTATTGTAACAATAAATTGTTACAATAGTTAAATTGGCTTTAATGGTAAAGAGTGATGCTTTCAGAATTAGGAAAAACTAAGGAGCTTCCAAAAGTTCATGGAACTTTCCCCTCTTTTAATTCAAGTTCATGAAACATTCCCCTCTCTTTTAATTCAAGTTCATGGAACATTCCCCTCTCTTATAATTCCATTTTCTAAGAACTTTCCAAAGTCTTCTCATATTTCCTCTTCACTGAGGAAAGGAACCGTGATTACTTGGTCAATTTCATAGTAAGTTGTTGCTGCTGCGCATTCTGCCGTCCACACCACCCAACCGCTGGCCAGCTGGATGCTGTCTGTCCCGCTTAAGGCCATGTACGAACATTCAGTCAACCCTGAAAACATGCTTCCTTTCTGCTATCATTAACTGAAACAGGAGGTATATGATGTCTTAAGTAATTCATGTAAAATCTAGATAGATATATTTCATGAACAGCCTTTTAGAAGATGAATAATTCTGTCTGATCAGGTACTGAGTTTTTCAGTTGCGCAGAATAACCCTGGGGTTATCAGAAATTATCTTTCCTTCTCAATAGTTGTCAACAAGAGGTAAAAGTGGAAGATAAACTTTTTATCATTTCTACTTTGCTAGCTAGAACGAAGGTGCGTTGTCATTGACTAATGCGAACCATTCCAGAAGCCCTGCTGGCTCTGTCGGGTAAGCATTAGACTGCTAACCATAAGGCCGGTGGTTCAAACCCACTAGCAGCTCCCCAGGAGAAAGATGAGACTGTGTATTTCCATAAAGATTTACAGCCTCAGACACTCTACATAGGGGCACTGGGAGTTGGAATCGGCTCGATGACAGTGGGTTGGTTTGGAATGTGAGCCACTAAGAGGGTTGGGAGAATGAGATGAGAGAGGTAAGACACAGGGAACCAAAGGAGCGAGGAGTCAATGGCAAGTCCCAGGGGCCAGGGAGATGTGCATCACCAGCCTCGCAGAAACGTTCAGGTACAGATCACAGGTGTACAATCTTCTCTTACTTTTGAGAGAATTGCCATTCTTGTAGCAATAATTCATGACTGTCATGATGTTTCTGAATCAACATAAAGCTATGTTCTATTCACCATACTCTATTAAAGCAGGGAAACACATTTTAAATATATATATTAAATTTTAAAATAATTCCATTAGAATAATTGTTATCAAACTGTCTACACACAGGTGGCCACTGATACTGTATAAAAGCATCTTGAGTCACCCATTACCTGGTCATCCCAAAGATCCGAATTGTTAATGTTGGTCTTTGATTCTTTTTACTGAGGAGAATCTGCATTGTCTCTAGGTTTCTCTTTTTCTTTTTCTTTTGAGTTGTTGTGTCTATTATTATTCTAGTTGTTCTTCAAGTACATCAGGCAGAATTCTGGCCTAAAGAACTTCCCTTGTTGACAGTCGGCAGAAAAGCTATGGTTTACTACTGTTTGGGGTGACAGGGTCGCAGTTCCAGCCCAGGCCGTGCACGTGTGTCCTCCTGTTGAGTGGAGCAGTGGCTACATGGAGCATGATCGATCCCCCAAGAACCTGTTGCTCTGTCTCTGCAGGAGAAGTCCTGGTGTTCCTCGATAGCCACTGTGAGGTGAATGAGCTGTGGCTTCAGCCCCTGCTGGCGGCCGTCCACGAGGACCCCCGCACCGTGGTTTGCCCAGTGATTGACATCATCAGCGCGGACACGCTCATCTACAGCGCCTCCCCCATCGTGCGAGGAGGGTTCAACTGGGGCCTGCACTTTAAATGGGACCTTGTGCCTCTTGCTGAACTGGGAGGACCAGACGGCGCGACGGCACCAATAAAGTAAGGCTTCTTTCTCCTTCTGTGGAAAAAGTCCTGCCTGCAAAGAAAAAAATCCTTTAAAGGCATTTCCTCTGTTTTTTGAAGGAGCTAAAATCGTGGCTTCAGACTTGACTTTAATGCCATTTCCTAAGTCCTCAGGTAAAGAAAGATCTGTGTGTAAGAAATTCTCCATGCACGCAAGGATTTATCCCTTCGTGAGAATGGCCACCAAAGTGAACCCTGCCTGACAGTGATTATCGCATAAGATACCGTGGTCATATCCCAGCAACTGTTTTTTACGTGAAATGCCATGGTTTATTGGTTTGATCCTTAATTTTCAGTTATTTGCTTGAATCACGCTGTGCAGAACATGGACTGGTTGGTAAAATGACTCTTCTGCATTGAGGATTTGAAAGGATGGAGACCTGCTAGTGCAATTTCTAAGTCATAGTATATCAGTTTTATTAGCTCTCCGTTCTTATTTTTTCTTTTAAATTTCTTTCTAAAAATCTAAAAAGAATTTCAGAGCAGTCTTGCTTCTAGCCCCTTTTGTTTTGTTTGAACTTTGTATATTGTGAAAAAATAGCACACACAAAAGTACATTAGCTGCATAGGTGCGCAGTGTAGTGAATGGCTCTAAGGTGAACACTTGTGTGGCGACAGCTCAGATCAAGAAACAACACCCAGAAGAGACCCCACACAACTTTACTTGATCCCAGGCCCTGCCCGTGTCCCCAAATATGTTCATTAACCTGACCATACACAGTCATTTCTCGGCTTTCCTTTATAGTTGTATCACCTATCTATGTACCTCCGAACAAAGTCTTGCCGGCCGTGTACTTCATATAAACAAAGCCACATGGGATGTTACGTTGTATCTTACTTCTTTTATTCAGTCCTATTTTATTTATTCATTTTTAGCAAATCATATTTTTATTGAAAACAATGGAACGGACGGTTCCTGAGGGTATGGGAGAAGGGGAGGTGGGAGAAAGGAATGTGGGGTGGGGAGCCAACCCAGGGACAAGGGAACTAAAATCAATGGGGAGAAGGGTGTAGGATGCATAGTGGGGCAGCGAGGAATTACTAAACCTGAATGAAGGCTGAACATGATGGTAGGACAGGAGGAAAGTAAAAGGAAATAAAGAAAAGAAACGGGAGGCAAAGGACATTTATAGAGGTCTAAATACAGGCATGTACACATGTAAATGTATTTATATGTAACGAGAGGGGAATAGATCTATGTACTTACATCTATATGTTAAGAATTAAGGTTGTAGATGGACTTTGGGCCCTGACTCAAGTACTCCCTCAACACAAGAACACTTTGTTCTAATAACCTGGCATTCTGTGATGCTCACCTTCGAGACACAATCAATGAAGACAAAATGAGTATATAAGCAAATGTGGTGAAGAAAGCTGATGGTGCCTGGCCATCAAAAGATATAGCATCTGGGGTCTTAAAGGCTTGAAGATAAACAAGCAACTATCTAGCTGAGAAACAACAAAGCCCACATGGAAGAAGCACACCAGCCTGTGTGATCATGAGGTGTCGATGGGACCAGGTATCTGGTATCTAGGACCCAGAACAAAATCATACCCAATGTGAATTGGGGTGGGTGAGCATGGAGTGGAGACCCAAAGCCCATCTGTATACAATTGGACATGCCCTCACAGAAGGGCTACAAGGAAGAGATGTGCCAGTCAGGGTGCAGTACAGCACCGACAAAACACACAACTCTCCTCTAGTTCCTTAATGCTTCCTTCCCCCCAACTATCATGACCTCAATTCTACCTTACAAATCAGATTAGTCCAGAGCATGCACTCTACTACAGAGGAGAGGCCACAACACAGGAAATCCAGGATAGATAAACCCCTCAGGGCCAACAATGAGAGTGGAGATACCAGAAAAATGGGGGGAAGGTGGGGGAGAAGATGGAATCGATCACAAGGATCAACATATAGCCCCCTCCCAGGGGGATGAACAACAGAAAAGTGGGTGAAGGGCGGCAGAGGATGATGTAAGATATGAAAACAATAATCTATAACAGAGGTCCCTAAACTTTTTATTTATTTATTATTTTTTTAAATTTTTCCGAAACTTTTAAAACAGGGGGCTAGTTCACTGTCCCTCAGACCCATTGAAGGGCTGGACTATAGTTTAAAAAAAACTATGAACAAATTCCTATGCACACTGCACATATCTTATTTTGAAGTAAAAAACAAAACAGGGCAAAAACACCTGGCGGGCCGGCTCGGCGGGCCGCATGTGGCCCACGGGCTGTAGTTTGAGGACGCCTGATCAATAACTTATCAAGAGTTCATGAGGGAGCGTGGGAGAGGTAGTGGGGGAAATGAGGAGCTGATATCAAGGGCTCAAGTAGAAAGAAGATGATTTGAAAATGATGATGGCAGCATGTGTACAAATGTGCTTGACACAACAGATGATTGTGCAGATTGTGATAAGAGATGTAAGAGCCCCCAATAAAAGTATTTAACTGAAAAAAGAAGTTATATCTTCCTTCAGTGATCATCCTAGAGAGTATAACATAAATCTCTGCCTTCGCAAAGCACATTTATAACATTATAACATAATTAAGATTATAAATTAATGTAATGCAGGGACTAATAATATAAAACAAGTTAGTATTTCCCCTGGATTCTCCCAAATAATGCAAAGATCTCTGAATATTTATAGTCGGGTTATCCCCATCCTAAGTTATGTGCTGTTGTTGAATGCACATGTGTAGGTTCGTGCGAACTTATGGATACTCGAGGACCTGCAGTGCATTTTTATATAACCAACATCAATTAAGTTTACCTCTTTGTTACTCTGTGTGCTTTCTGTCTCTGCCAAGCATCAACTAGGGTCCTTTTCTTCTGGCTGAAGAAATAATTAGTGTTTCCTTCCTTCCCTGTGGATCTTTGTCTTGTCTCAAGATGGCTCGATTCCATTGTTATTCTGAAGACGATCTTTGCTGGGAACCCAATTCTAGTTGGAAGGTGTCGCTCTCAGGGCTGGGAAGGCACCGTTCCAGCATCCTGGCTTCCACTGTTTCTGATAAGCAGCCATGGCCTTACTTTTGTTTCTATAACAAAGTTTGTCTTTATTTTCCATACATGTTTTTCAGATATGTAGAGCTGTGGATGTCTAGAATAATACCTAATTCTCAGTCGGGTTCTTAGTCTTGGCTTTTGTTGCTTTGAACACACTGTGAGTTATTTTAAAGTCTTCCTGATAGCTCCATTATTTGAAACCCCAGTACATTTGTCTCTGTTGTAGGTCATGTCTCTTCCATCTGGCTTTATCATCCTGTTTGCTTCGGGGTTTTTTATTTGTTTTATTTTTACTTTTTGGTTTTTACAAAGTCTCAGACATACTACTTTTTTTTTTGAGTATTGATGTTTTCTTTCTGAAGAAATAATTTTACTGCATACGGCTTAGGGCACTGGAATCTATGATCACCTCTAATCCAGTGGTTCTCAACCTTCCTTGTGCCGCGACCCTTTCATACAGTTTCATTACAGACCACCCCCCCCAACCATAAAATTATTTTCCTTGCTGCTTTATCACTGTCATTTTGCTACTGTTATGAATCGGTGACCCCTGTTAAAGGATCGTTCAACCCCCAAAGGGGTCGCGACCCTCAGGTGGAGACCCTGTGCCTTAATCTAAGTTTAGGAACGGAGTGGCCGCAAGTCGACTTGAGTCTGTGAGCGCAACCTACTTTACATTCTCCTACCTCGGGCTCTGGGCGCTTAGCCTTGGCGTTTGGGGCCGGCTACCTCTGGTTTGGAGGGGCTTGCTTTAGGCATTTTGGAATATTTAGCAGCACTCCTGGTGTATCATGAGCAATCAAAAGTTATCATTTGATTTTATAATAGTGAATGCCGATTTTTGTTTTGTTTAGCATTTCAAAGTTGCACTGAGTTTTTTTAAAACCCTTGCAGAGGGGTCTCGGGGAGGAGATGAGCCAGTCAGGGTGCGATGTAACAACGATGAGAAATACAACCTTCCTCTAGTTCCTAAAGGTTTCCTCCCCGCTCCCACTACCATGACTTGAATTCTATCTTGCAAGACTGGATAGACCAGAGGAGGTACACTGGTACAGATAGGAACTGAAAATACAGGGAATCCAGGACGGATGAGCCCTATAGGACCAGTGGTGTGAGTGGCAAAACAGGGAGGGTAAAGGGAGAATGGGTAGGAAAGAGGGAACCGATTACATGGAACTGTGTGTGACTTTCTCCCTGGGGGACAGACAACCAAAAAGTGGATGAAGAGAGACGTCGGACAGGGCAAGATATGACAAAATACCCATTTATAAACTATCAAGGGCTCATGCGGGAGGGGGGAGCGGGGAGGGAGGGGAAAAATGAGGACCTAATGTCGGGGGTTTAAATGGAGAGAAAATGTTTTGAGAAACGATGTACAAATGCGCTTTACACAATTGATGTGTGTATGGATTGGGATAACAGTTGTATGAGCCCCTAATAAAATGTTAAAAAATTAATTAATTAATTAATTTAAAAAAATTTAAAAATCAATAGCTCACGTCACTGACAGTCATGACTTTCCTCTCCTAGGTCGCCGACAATGGCTGGCGGGCTGTTTGCCATGAACCGACACTATTTCAACGAGCTGGGCCAGTATGACAGCGGCATGGACATCTGGGGAGGAGAAAATCTGGAAATCTCCTTTAGGGTAATTTTGTCTTCGGGGTTTGCTTCCCTGTTAGCGGTGTGAGTGGTGGGGTATGATTTCCACTCAAGTCTCCCTGGTCATCTTTCCTGCAAATCGCCCTTCATGAAGGCCTTCCTTACCATAGTCTATGATAGGGACAACATCCACTTACAATCTCGAAAGCCCTCAAAAAACTTTATATTTATAAGAATTTCAAAGGTATGCTTGCAATGAGAGCTTTAGTATAATCCAGGAAATCTTAATGAGGATGTAATGTAGGGTGTTGTTTTCTCCCTGCCTCTCTATCAATTTTATTGATACCACTAGATGCCGATAGCCAGATTGGCCCAATTTTTCTGTTTGCCTAAAACAGTCTGAGCTCATAGGAAAATTATCATTAGCTCCTAGTTCACTCTCAGAAACCTCCCAATTTAGATGTTAACATGTCACCGCAGGTAGGGCTTGCTGAATCCTCTGCACACACAGTTGCCTCCAACTGAGGGAGAAATTCATTATGCCCCCTTCTTCTCAGTTCCTGAAAGTGGAAAACATGAGCGTCTGTGTGAAGGCCGCGGCCCAGGGCACTGTGGTGCCAAGTGGGTCTTTGGCACAGGCTGCATGAAGGCAAAAGAACTCAGACGTCTCCTTTCGAGCAAAGGCCCAGCTTCCACCTGCCTGGCTCCTGGTCGAGGCAGCAGGATCCTCATACATGCAGCACCCAAGACCTTGTGTCCTTGTGTGTATGTTGGTTGTATTCTTAAAAATGCTTTGACCACTGCGTTCTAAAAGTCGGGGGCTGTTTGTTTTTACAGTCTTTTGAATTTTGAAGTTAAAAGACAAAGAACTCATAAGTTCCGTGTTCTCATCTTCTAGACATGCCCAAACATAAAAACCCTACTGCCATCCACTGAGTTCGTTCTGACTCCGAGGGACCCTGTAGATGTAGACCGTTTCTTGGACTGAGTCTTTCTGGGAACAGCCAGCCGTGTCTTTCTCCCCGGTGCAGCTGGTGAATTTGAATCACCGTCCTTGTGGTTAGCAGCCAACGTTAACCTACAACGCCCACCGCCAAGGCTCCTAGAAACAAGTGCTCCACACAGGAAAACAACTTGTACAAAGCAGCCCAGATGAAAGTCCGGGGCAAACGTTAGACGAAAGTCCAAGATCTCCCGGGTCATGATTTAAAATTATATCTGTGTATTTGAGAAAATTATTTTCTAAAAAATATACAAACATTTGAAAAGAGAGAGTACCTTGACTTGTTAAAGGACCGAGTACGGGAGGTGCCATTTTTGGCAGATGGTGGTAAATGAATGTGACCTTGTTTTAGACTCTAGTTTATTTTTATTCCTAAAGATAGTGTTTAAAAGGTAACCCCTGACTTGGCTTCTGTTTGGACATTTATATTTCAAAGAGAAAACCCCTCGCTGTGCTACCTTCGTGCATAAAAACCAAACTCACTGCCATCGCGTCAACACGGATCCTGAGGGACAGGGTGTCATGGCCCTGGGGCTTTCTGAGACTGTAACTCTTCACCTTAGTAGAACGCCTCATCTTTGTTCCAAGGAGCAGCTAGTGGCTTTGAACTGCTGACTTTGTGGTTAGCAGCCCATCACGTAACCAGGACACCACAAGGCACCTTTCATTAGCGCACAAATATTATTGACTTCATAAGAATGCATACCTGATTTCACTGCAACCTGAAGCAACTTTAATGCATATTTTGCGTTTCTCCAGATCTGGATGTGTGGGGGCAGGCTCTTCATCGTCCCGTGTTCTCGGGTAGGACACATTTTTAGGAAAAGGCGCCCGTACGGCTCTCCTGAAGGGCGGGACACCATGACGCACAACTCCCTGCGCCTGGCTCACGTGTGGCTGGATGAATACAAGGTGCGGTGGTGTTTCTGGGATGGGGGGTGGGGTGGTGGGGGGTGTGTGACTTTCATTGCCCTCCTTTTCAGTTTGGGGTATTTGTTTGTTTGACATATCCATGTAGGGCCATACCGTTTCTTTTCCCTCCTCTTCACCAAGTGTCAACATGACTAATTCTCATGTGACTCTTCATTTTCCAAGTGAACAATTGAAGAAAACGTAGCCAGCCAGAGAGGATTCACACAGGAGACCAGGGGTGCTCCTAGACCCAAGGAGTCAGTCTGGGGTGAGCCCAAGGAAGAGACATCGTGCATAGCTTTCAAAGACGTATTTATTCTCTTCTAATGTGTCTCTCTCCAACAAGTGTCACTCTATCGCCTCCACGTCTTCTTTGCTCCTTATATCCCTTAGGTCTGGAACATTCCCTAAGCTGGTAGGACCACATCACCATAACAATGAAACCCTCTTTCCAAACAGCAGTACCGCTGCATGGACAGGATAAATATGACTCGGACACATTATTTACTTCCAACACATACTTTAGGTGAATACCGTTTAACCTATAACAAGGTCCGAGTGACCCACGCAGCAGGTTTCCCAGATCAAAGTTCTTTCTACACTCAGATTCCTGTATTGTTGGCCTTTTTCACGGTGTTGGCATTGCACCGATGGTGCCAACAGTGGAATCAAACGCTGACCTCCACCAAGGCAATAGCACCCAACTGTCCTAGTCACCATGGCACCCCTCCCTGCCATGCACCCAGAAGGTAAGGTGAGGGGAACGCCGACTTCATTCAAGAATATCACTGATGAAGGAATCCAAGCAATTGGTCTCATTAAGGCTCCTCTTCTCCGTCTGTGTGACAAATGGGTAAGTGCATAGAGAGCATGCTGGCTGCATTCTGGTTTCCAGGAAAAAGCCTTGTAGGGCTGTGTGAGTTATGAACAGAACCTAGTCCCTTTGCTGAAGGAACATTCTCTTTAAAAAATGCCGTTTATTTCTTGTAATTGGTGATACAAAACACAGCCCGCAGATTGACCAGCTTCTGCTGGTTCAGTTGCACGATGGATACTGGGTCTTTTCTTCAAGGTGCCACCGTCCTCAGCCTCCCTTTCTGAATTGTTTCTCCTCTGTGGGCAGACAGTCACGGCCCCGTAAGCCTCCGGCTGCGGCTGCTGGTCTGACCTTACAGAGAAGGTTCTCTCAGAGCTCCGCTCCCAAGGCAGACAGGCTTTCCTAGTTAAGCAGAATTATTGTTTGATTTTAAGAAGACGTTAGGGGATATTTTCTGTCAAGATTATCTCAGGGTGATAGTTTTTAGGAGAAGGGGATCCAACCTGCCCAGGAAACACTCTTTTGCCCTAAAAGAATGACTGACTCAAACCAGGCTTTTTCTTATTTGGGTATTTGGCAACAGTTTCTCAAAAATGAACCAGGTCAGTCTTAAACATTAAAGAAGTGACAGTGTTTGTTGCAAATGATAAACTAGTTAAGCTTTCAAATGAAAAGTTTGATTTTGAAGTACATAGTGTTCCCTCCCAGGAGCTCGAAAGCTTCCAATTATTTGCGACCATTGAGTTGACTCCCACTCATAGCGACCTCCACACAACACGGCGGAGCACGGCCGGGCCCTGCGCTATCTGCACAAGCAGTGCTGTGGCCGAGCCCATTGTCGAAGCTCCTGTGTCAATCCAGCTAGTTGAGAGTCTTCTTCTTTTTTTTATTCATTTTATTAGGGGCTCATACAACTCTTATCACAACCCATACATACATTCCTTGCCCTCATCATTCTCAAAACATTTGCTCTCCACCTAAGCCCCTGGCATCAGCTCCTCCTTTTTGCCGCTCCTTCCCCACTCCCCCTTCCCTCATGAACCCTTGATAATTTATAAATGAGAGTCTCCTTACATTTGGCTTATCCTCTCCTTTACCAAGTCTGACATTATCTCTAGGGACTGGCCCCTCCTTACAACTTATCCATCATAAGCAAGATGAAGTCTCACGATCCTCGCTTCGAAGGAACCTTTTGCCCATACTTCTTCCAAGAAATTTTGTTTGTTTTTTACTTCTGGCAGTCCAGCTGTATTACATAGTCTTAGCCAAACCTCGTAATTCAAATACGTCCACTTTTGTCGTCTTCATTGTCCGGCGTCCACAGGCACCTGTCGTACCCACTCAGTCTGCAAAGTGACATCTCGGCTGTGAAACGCTTTCAGGAGGTCTTTTGCAGCAGAGTTTATCACTGCAGTACGTCAGTGATTTCTGGACTGCTGCCTCCAGGCATTGATGGTGCTTCCTAGCACTTAAAACCACAAGAGATTTTACTATAGAACAGTGTGCAAACCTCAGTGATGCGTTCATATTCCATTGTAACTGACCTTCAAGTTGTTGAGTTTTGATATAGTATCAAAGAAAAATAGCAGTCATTATCCAAAATAGATATTAAAATATTCCCTTTTTAACTTCATATTTGCATGAGATCATTGTTATCATCCGGTAGACTAGAGAAACAGATTTGTGGACACTCGTGTGTAAGAGAACTTTATATCAAAGAGCAATTGTACATTAAGAAAACATCCCAGCCCAGTCCAGTTCAAGTGCATAAGTCCGCTATTACTAGTCCATAAATTCCTCTTTAGACTCATGCAGCCATGCAATGATGCAGAATGTAGGTAGATCACAGGCCAGTGGATGGAAAGGAATGTGCATCCAGTGGTGGTGGCAGCATCTCAGCACTCGTGTGGGTCTCCACGTGGCTTTTCCAGCTCAAGGGCTCTGGCTGAATCAGTGTAGCTCCATCAGGCTTGTCATCAGGAATGTCTTGACGGAAGTGAGTGTATTGGGCCGCCAGTGAGCTATTTATCTCTTTTGTGCCTCCAAATGAGGTCATTAAGCTGCAACCTGACCGACAGGCTAGACTCCACCCCTTCACTCTTAATATTGTCAAGTTGACACCAGATTATGTAACTACCACAGTCATAATTTTTAAAATATACTTAAGCCAAAATAATATAACAATAGGTTGCATGCAGATATGAAAATTCAACTGGTTCCTATTCTAGACATTTTAAAAGATTTACTATAAGGTAGAAAAATACCACCATTCTTCTAATTTTTGTTCTGGAAAATATAGTTCTTTTTCTTCAAAGCATGATGTTGTGTTGTCATTATTGTATGTAATTAATTAAAACATTAAAAAACCCTTAGTTTAAAATCTAAAATGGTAACAATAGGTATAAATCACAAATAAATCCTCTTGGGATTGTTGATAATTTTCAAGAATATAGAACCCCGAGAACAAAAATTTGAGATCACTATTTCATCTATTAGCACATTTTGATATATTTTGATATTTCTGAAATTTCCCAATTGTATATTTTACAATCAAGATGCTTTCTCATTGGTAGTTAAGCATGGGCCTTAATTATGCCAAAGATTTTCACTTATACATTTTTCTGGTAACATCAAGAGAACACCAGCATAAATATATGGGTCATCATCCACTGTTTTCCATTGTTCTGCAGCCCTAACATAATGCTTGATACTCTTTTTTAACAAACTATCCTTTTTTTCCCTTTTTTTAAATCCAGGAGCAGTATTTTTCCTTAAGACCAGATCTGAAGACCAGGAGCTATGGGAACATCAGTGAGCGGGTTGAACTGAGGAGGAAGCTGGGTTGTAAATCATTTAAATGGTATTTGGATAATATTTACCCAGAAATGCAGATATATGGGCCCAATGCCAAACCACAGCAGCCCATTTTTATTAACAGAGGGCCCAAGCGCCCCAAAGTTCTTCAACGTGGGCGGGTAAGAAAACAGTCTCGACATGTTTCTTAGAAGTTGTAGCTTAGGAGATACCTCAATACACCCATACGCTGTCATAAATTACACTTAGGCTTTTAAAATATTTCGTGATAGACTATAGTTATATTCTTGTCACAGGAATTGCTTTTACTCAGGTGTAAGACCTTAGACATTTTAATATCTTTGTCGTTAATATTAAGACCCTTTATGCATCAAAGGATGCATAACTTCTGTAAAGCTGCATCATCTGACAGCTTTTAAGAGAGTTTAATATACATGTAAATATGCACATAAATACAGCTTTCCTCACTATCTGAAAGGAAAGTGTTTCAATGTAACCTTTTGTAGCCAAAAGGGCTGAAAGCAAAGAGGCAATTACCATTAATTTATATGGGAATATTTTCTGAGTGTTCCCTAGCCCCACCCCACAACATAACCCATCACATCATACCAAGTGGCACATAAAACCTAAAATAACACTTAACACATAGTGCTCGTCGACACAGTTCAAGCTATGGCAGCTTGATGCCCAGATATTGAGCCCAGTTTCCCCCACGAAGGCGCTTGGCAATGCCAGTCTCATTGCTCAGGTGGTGTGCTACAGACAAACCTGGGACATGTGTGGTTTCCCTTTTTCTCCTGAAAATGAAAATCCTTTCAGGCTTCTTCCAGTTAAGGAAAACAGACACTAATGAATGTCTTTCATAAAATCAAAATGGTCTAAAGCAAACTTTAAAACGTGGGCATAGGAAATAGCGAAGCAGATGCAGTGGAGGAGTAAGGTTATAATCCAAATTCTAAGTAACCCTCCAATCTGGTCGGGAAGCACACTGGCCTCCCACATCCGGGAGAGGTCTCCCTTTTGGAACTCAATCACAGTTGTATAATGACATTTTTTCCCGGAGGGCGGGGTGGGGTGTGTGTGTGTGTGTTAACTTGCCTTCAGAAAGGGAAGGGTCAATCTCTTTGCCACCTCATTGTCTCTTTGGTGCTACAAGAAGGCACATCTCCCAGGTTGCTTCCCAAGGGAAAGAAGGTAGAAGTACACCTAGAGTGTTCCCGCCCCTGCTCTCCCTGGAGGAGCCTCATGGCATTGTGGGGGATGCATTGGTCAGCAGTTTGAAACCACCAGCAGCTCTGAGGGAGAGGAAAAGAGGCTGTCTCTTGTAAAGATTTACAGTCTTGGAAACCCACAGTGGCTTTGGTCAAAGTTTTGGTTGCTACCTTCTGAGATTAAAAAAAAGGTGTTTATTAATTACGGATTTTCTTGTTAAGTAGAAATAGTACCAGTGTATAGCCAAATAGTTGCAATTCCTCATTTCTCATGTCTTCCCTTGCACTTCGAATCTCGTTTCGAGCTGACACTAACCCTTTACCCACGTTACATTAGCCCTTTCCCGATTGTTCGTAGTTCTGCCTCTCTCTTTTCTGTCTTATAATATCTTTTTCCTTAGCTACTCTTTTTTTTCCCTTTGAACTTTACTGAAACTTTGTCACTACATTTCTGTTTTGCTACTCAGCTCGTTACTTTTTTTCTCCTTTTAATGTCATCCCTGCCATCACTAGTTTATATAATATTGCTGGGACTCTCAGTATTGACTTGTATTCTCACTTATTTATCCAACGAGTGTTTATTGAATGCCGGCTGCAAAACCAGGCACTCCATGTGGGCTAGGGCTGTAGTGACGGACACAATGACTGTCCCTTACTTGAGGGGTGGGCAAGAGGATGACAGAGATGAAATATACCCAAATAATTTTGCGATTGTGACAAGTGCTCTTTGTCACAATTGAAAGGACAGGACTGTACGTCTCATATTCTAAAAATATAAGACGCTTGAGGAGAGTGGAATTATACTGCCCACGTATTGGGGGCTTTTCGGAGGGTTATCCTTGACCACAGTAAGAGCCAGAGGCTCTGGATGGGGCTGGGGCATTTGTCAGGGGAGTAGGCACCCTGCTTTCTAGACCCTAGGGGAAGAGGGTTGCGGGGAGCCCTCAGAGCCTCATGGGCCTTGGTGGTGAGGAGTTTTGCTTTGTTTCAAAGCGCAATAGGAAGCAAGAGACCAGAAAGCGATCATATGAAACTCACTTTTTTTTTTTTTTTTAATGAAACTCACTTTTTAGAAAGAACGTGGAGAAGTTTTCTAGTAAGTAATTCATTATATGCTTGCTAGGTGCAGTGTTTTTATCTGCCCTTGGAATCCCCATTACCATTAGAGTCCGCATAGGATCTGGATTGAGCACTGCATTCAATTGCAATGCCATTTAATTTTGCACTTTTGCATTCTACTTGCTCCTACTTAAATGGTTGGTTCTTTTTCCTCAATTGCATTGTAAGGGTCTTCAGGACAGGGCTGTGTTTGTTTCCTTCAACCCCACAGGTGACAGGTGAACTTGTGTTTTCAGGTAGAGTTTCTACTTGACCGTGCTCATTACATACACGCAGTGGAAAGTTGCCTAGCGTGTGGTACGACTTGCACTGGTCTTCCCCTGTAGTGAGGTGAGAACGCAGGAATGAACCATGCTTATCTTTCTGAGTGTCTACGTTCACACCTGTGGATGAATACCTTCACATTTCATTGAAACCGTCCACTGTACGCATTCTAAAGCTTCTCTGACATCACGCTTTCTCGGTCTTCCATGTTGTCAAGAGCCCTCTCCCCTTTTGCAGCTCTATCACCCCCAGACCAACAAATGTCTGGTGGCCCAGGGTCGCCCGAGCCAGAAAGGAAGCCTGGTGGTGCTGAAGGTGTGCGACTATGGTGACCCGAATCAGGTGTGTACTATGGGGGGGCTCAGGGCCAGCACTTGGGCCCTGTTGTTTAGGGGCTTAGGAATTGAGATCAGTTTAAGACCCAGATTTTCCTAAGATTCTTTCCATTGTCAGGAAGAACTTAAGTGTCTTCTAACATACAGGCTGCAACAACGTATTTAAAATGGCAAAGGAAGTGCACCTTCTGCCAGGACAGGGACATGAAAACTACATTAGAGGAATCCAAGGATCTTTGGTGGAGTTTCCTAATTTGCACTGCTGGAACAAAGGAAACTGCAACATCACTTTGGTGCATGTTACAGAATTTAATTGTATCTTTTCACTAACATCAACATCTGAAAGCGATCTTTAAAAATTAGCCCCCCAAACCCCTCATTTTAATATAAAATTGTAATTTCAATCTGATTTTCTTATAAAATATTGTAACTAACAGTGTTGGTAAATCTGCTGCCCAAGACCTCTTTAAAGTGTTGAAAAGCAAGGATGTTACTTTGAGACCAAGATGTGCTTCACCCAACCACGGTATTTTCATAACCTCCTATGCATATGAAGTTGGACATTGAATAAAAAAGACTGATGAAGAAGAAGAGATGCACTGGAGTTATGGGGTTGGTGGAGAATATTGAAAGTACCATGGACTGCCAAAAGCACACACAAATTTGTCATGGAAGAAGTCTGGCCCGGCCGGGCGATGGAAGCAAGGGTGGTGAGACTTCCTGCCAGTGCCACCAGAGCTCCGTGCAGTGAGCTGGAGCACCTTTTATATGTAGGGCAGTTCAGACACCACGTGTTAGACCGATGCGTTAGATAGATGCGTGTTGGTTCGTCTTCTAGATTGTGGGTGTATGTGTGCACACACGTGTGTGTGCCATTGCTGGGTAGGAGTTGCTGGGGCAGGTGTCAGTATTGTGGACATGAATATGTTAGAATTCTGGTGACATTTCAATGATGTAGATCATAGGTTAAGATAACTGATATTTATGAAGATTGTAGGAATAAATATCATTTATCTGTTAAAAAAAGATAACTAATATTTAAATTGTTTTAGAAACTACAATGATACCTTGGCTATCAAACTTAATTCGTCCCAAATTCATATTCAAACACCGAAGAGTTCAACAATTGAACATATTTTTTCCCATAAGAAATAATGGAAAACCAAATGATTGGTTCTGAGGCCCCCAAATTACACTCATGAGGGTATTTTCCCAGGACTTTCACACGAAGTTAGCAGCCTTACATTGTGGAAATGCCCCCGAAAACATCTAAACACCGGACACTAAATACAATGCAGATACAGTACAGTAAAAACATTTTTTTTACAGTTTTTGCACTGACCTCCTGGTGCACAGGGAACCGGAGAGGAACCACGGGAGGCGGAGAAATGGGATGTTTGGGAGGAGGGTCTCCTTCCACCATGGCTGCTGGCAGTGCACGCTCCGGGTCGTTTTTCACCTCTCTCCCTGAAAATGTGTCGAATGACACCTGCTTCTGTCTTCTTGTCAAGAGTTCTGAAAAAGAGAGGCATTTTCATTTGCCAGTTTCACAGGTCTACCACTGCCCTCTCTGGCTACTGTGGGTCCATCCATTTAGCGTCCATTTCTTTTGTTAATGACCTCGGGCCCCCGCGCCCTGCTGCTCCTTCTGAAGATGCAGAAGCTGAGTGGCGAGCTCTGCACTGCCTCCTTCACGGACTCGCCCGCATCCTCGTTGCCCACCTCGAGACCCACTGACCCGCCGAGAGACCCGCTGCCCTCCACAGTAGGCCCCTCCTCAGAGCCGTCAAAGTCTCAATCTGTCACAGCTTCTGTCCACTACTGTCACCATGCTTTCATGGTCTTGCAAGAGACTCCCCCCAGACTTGTCCCCAAGGGTAATGCAGTGGAGGACATGAAATGATTTCTTCCAGATCTCTTGAAGGGTCAACTGGGTGTCTTAGGTTATTTCAAAACACCACTGGAACACTGCTTTGGTGTACCTTGATTTTTTTAATTAGCAAGGACTTGCTGGTCCATGGGCTGGGTGAGAGCAGTCATATTTGGGGGTAGGAGGAGCGCTTTTACAGGCAAATTTTTCTCCCACAAGTGTTTTTGACCCTGGGCTCCAGCAGTTCGTGTCTGCACTCAGTGAAAAGCTGCCTGGTCACCCGCGCTTTATTATCCGCCCTCCACATCACACTTAACTTATTTTTCATTCTGTTTTGTTGTTTTAAAACCCGTGGGCTTTCAGAATGGTACACTAACATCGTCTTCACTTAAAAATCCCCACTAGCATTCCCACACCACAACAGAGGGAGCCTGTCTTTCACAGGCTCATGGCCTGGCAATGCCTCTTCCTCTGTAGTAAGGAAGGTCCGATAGGACATTTTTTTGCCCAATTTCATCACAATTGAACACTTGCTGGGGCTCGTTCGAAACCCCCAGCCTCCGCATCGTCAGCAAATCCAGCCACAAATACATCAGCTTCGTCTCCATTGCACCCTTCCCGCCCCAGGCCTCTGCTACTATGACTGCCTGTTCTCTCTGCATTTTTCATACCGGTCACGGCTGCCACTGGGCCCCCAAGGCTGCTCAGCCCTCAATTCTGCAACATTTCCACTCAAACCACGGGGAGGCGTCTAGCCATCTCGCACCTCACTGTCGCAGATCCGCTATTGCCACCGAGCTGTGTCGGATATATCCAAATGAACAGTCACTTTTCAACCTTTTCCGTGGTCTGGGCTCTTTGTTTTGTGGTTAAGATTCCACACCATTTGCTACCTTATCTGCTTTTAACCTATTTTTGGACCCCAAAGGATGTCGATCATGTCCACTTTGCCATGTTGCGTTCAGCGGCTAAGTCAGACAGGCGGTGGCCAGATTCAAATTGCACAGTGGTTTTTCCTATCACGATCATGGCTCTCAGAGTTTCCCTCTCGGCCTTCCTGCTGGTGCTGTTAACCTTCTTTGGAGCCCGGGTGACGATGTCTTAATACCAATAAAGCGCAAAACCAACCCCGCCGTGATGAATGTGTGAACACACTGGCACAAGCAGTATCTGTTGTCTGAGCAAGAGCGGCGCTTAGGCTGAAGCGTCGTCACCCCGTTGTGTCCCAGCGAGACGAGGTACAGGACACACTCTTGGGCCGTATGGGTTTATAAATTGGATTTGCGTTTAGACTACGGACAGCAAGCAGGAATTTTTTTGAACTTCGCCATTGGAGGAGGAGGAAAGTTCACGTTTGGAGCTGTTTGACTGCTGAGGGTTCAATGGATCTGAAGTTTGGGTGATGGAGTTATACTAACTTATCAGTAATGATGGCCTTGTTGAGATAAACGGGGCTGGAGAGCACATAGAATTTTACAAGACCAATGACTACTTGATGTTAAATACCTTTTTTTCAACACCATCAACAGCGACTGTTCACATAGGAAGGAGCCCAGGGGCCCAGCAGGTTAGATGTTGGGCTGCCAGCCCCAAGGTCAGCAGTTTGAACCCAGCACCTGCTACATGGGAGAAAGATGAGACTTTCTACATCCCATACAGATTTATAGCCTCAGGAACCCCAAGGGGAAAGTATTCTCTGTCCTGTAGTTCTATATGTAGTGACATTGGTACACATGGGCTTCACCACGTGGAATACACAGGAATCAAATTGACTCTCTGTGGGAAGAGATCATGGAGAAGCTTAACTCATCCCAAACCAGGCCAGCCATGAAGTAGACCATCAATTGCTCCTTTGCAAGTTCAGGTTGAAGCTGAGAAAATTAAAACAAGTCCATGAGAATCAAAATGCTATCCTGAGTATATCCCATCTGAATTCAGAGAACATCCTCAGAGGAGATTTGATGCACTGAACACTGTTCATAGGAAACCCGACGAGCTGGGGGATGACCTCAAGAGCATCATATAGGAAGACAGCAAAGGGCTCTGAAAACAACAGGGAAGAAAGAAAAGACCGAAGTGAATAGCAAAAGATACTCAACCTTGCTCTTGAACTCGGGGTAGATAAGGAACTACCCATAAATGGTGAGCAGCGTTTTCCAAAAGGCAGCTCAAGAAGACGAAATAGAGCATTATAATCAAATGTGCAAGACCTGGTGGTAGAAAACCACAAGAGAACACACACAGCACATCAAGCTGAAAGACTTGAGAAACTTCAAGCCTCCAGTTAAAATGTTGAAGGAATCGATGGACAAACTACTGACTGATGCAGAAAGCATAAAAGGAGGGACGAACTGTCTAAAGCACTGTAGCAAAAGTCATTGGTTGATGTGATCAAGGGCTAGCGACATTGATGGAAGTAGTCCAAGCTGCACTGAAGGTATTAGCCAAAAGCAAGGCTCTGGGAATTGGCAACATACCAGTTGAAATGTTTCAACAAGCGGATGAAGTACTGGAAGCACTCACTCTTCTGTGCCAAGAAACTTGGAAGACAGCTACCTAGCCAACCAACTCTAAGAACTGCCATGTTTGTGTTCCTTCCGAAGACAATTACCCAACAGAATGAGGCTACTATTGAACAATAGCATCAATATCACATGCAAGTAAAATTTGGATGAAGATAATTTTAAAATGGTTGTAATACAAAATTGACAGGGAGCTTCCAGAAATTCCAGCCAGATTCAGAAGGGAAGCACAACAAAAATGATATCATTGTTAAAGTCAAGTAATTCTTGGCTGAAATCAGACAATACCAGAAAGATACTTAATTGTGCTTAATAGAATATATACAATAAATTTGTCTCTGGATTATGACTAATTATGGACAGGAGAATGGGAATTCCAGAACACTTCAGCGTGCTCATGCAGATCCTATAGATTCAGAGGGAGTCTTTTGAACGGAACAAGGGAATACTGTTTACTTTAAAATCTGGAAAGGTGTGTGTCAGGGCTGCATTATTTCACTATGCTTACCCGTCTGTAAGATGAGCTAATAATTTAAGAAGGTGGGCCCTAGAAGTAGAAAAAAATGAATAAAAAAGTAGGGGAAATGTATAATTATATTCCGACGATTAGTTAAATTCAGCCAATTGGTTAAATTTAGTTTACAAAACTCCAGCTTCCACGTAGGTTTCTCCCTGGACTAAGGCTTCACTTTCTCCTCTGTTGGCGCTCTCTGTAAGAGAGCGAAGCTGGCATCTGCCCACAGGTAACTCTTGCCTTGATCTGCTTCTGTTTTACGAGATCACAGAGGACAAATGCATTTGTTTTCCATGCATATTTGAAGTGGTACATTGCCCTGAGCTCTATGTTCTATGTCTAAGGTTATATCTGGATGTTTTATCTGTTTTCCCTTAGGTTTGGGCTTATAATGAAGAGCATGAGTTGGTTTTAAATAATTTACTTTGTTTGGATATGTCAGAAACTCGCTCGTCGGACCCGCCACGACTCATGAAGTGTCACGGGTCAGGAGGATCCCAGCAGTGGAACTTTGGGGTGAGAAGCTTGCTGTTGAGGGTCTTCTAAACCAGGCTGAGGGAACTGGGCTTCGGCTTCAGGAGAAGCTGGAGTCTGCCACGTCTCTTGCTTTTGAAGGGATATTTTTAAATGCTCCACATCTCTTCTGGATATCTGTATCTTCTTTACCATGTTGTGGCAAGATGGTTTTTAAATAAGAGCTGCTTTTGTTTTGTTTTGTTTTTCCAGAAGAATAATCGACTGTACCAGGTGTCAGTTGGACAGTGCCTGAAAGTGGTTGATCCTCTCAGTCAGAAAGGTTATGTCGCCATGGCAATCTGTGATGGCTCCTCCTTACAGCAGTGGCATTTGGAAGGCTGAGGTGGAAGCTTCAGATGGGAATGATGTGATTCATTAGGCTCTGCTGCCTCTCAACAATGGGATGCGTTAGACGGAATATTGCCGGTACAAAGAAAACCCTGAAGTAATTTCCTGGTTGAGCAGAAATGTCTTGGCGGGGGTGAATGATGCCCTGTCCTCCTCTGGAGCTGCCTGGGAAGATGAGTGGAGACTGATAGGAAAAAGGAGTCCCACGTGGCCATCAGTAGATGGAGAAGTACATTACATCAAGACATTAATATTTCTAAGCTACCGTTAAGGAATTTCTTTCTTAAAGAAGGAAACCAGAATGTAATTTTAACTCCAAAGACTTGATTTTGTACAAAAGAACAAACCCCAGGAAATTCCATTATCTCCTAATTCCATCTTTTCATGAACCTTCAAAGCTCCCCTCATCTGCTTCCTTTTAATCTCTTTTAAGGATGGAAGGGTTTTTAGCTGATCAGGAACTTGTCATTCTTAGAAGACTTCACAGGAGATAGCTAATTTTTCTTGCTTCTATTATCACTGGTTTGATATGTTCTAAATAAATTTTTTAAAGCTGAGTCTATATTACTTTTAACTTCAGAGACATCATTTAAATGATAATTAACCATTATAAATTATTTTAGATGAATTATGATGCTAACTACATTTAAAATAAAGAATCCTTTTGATTGTTTACCTAGGTTTTTTGCTTTTCTATTCTTTGTCTATGTTGGGATCTCTGGTCTGAGTTCTATGTGTATGGTAGTTAGCAAGATATTCTTTTCAGCTTCGTTGATGAGTGAATAAGCTAGGTAGCATTACACAACTTTTAGGATGAACTTCATAGCTTCTTGCACTATGTGAATTTGAGGCTGAAGTTAAGTGAATTTTGATACTTATCATTAAGTTGCGTGTGACATTTCCATGTAGTAATATTAAATAGGTAGTTGAATAGAAAAGTCAGGATGCAAACAACTGAATTAGATATGTTTGGAATTGCACACATATATTGTAAATGCCTAAATATAAATTGAGTTTGTTTATTTTTAGGATTAGAAGGCAGTCCATTCAAATCGGGTGTGGTTACATAGGTGTTTGTTTTCACCTGTGGCAATCTGCATCACTAGTCTTTCCCCCTTAAAACATTGTTTTAAATTAGAGAGTTAAGATTGCCTATTTTAGTGGTTGGGTGTTCAACATTTCATTCCATGGGATGAGGAGATTTGCATCCCTATGACAAAACAACTTAATGGCAATTTGGAGTCACAGCCATGCACCTGTATGTCTTGAACCTTTGAGATTTTGTTTACGTGTTGTTTCTTTACCTAGAATTGTGTCTGAACCCCGTTCTATCGTGGCTTTCTTGTCAGGACTGTGCACTCGGTAACACCGTTGGTCATGGTAGTTGAGTTTTCCTGATCACATTTTGTTATGTGTTGTGAAAGGTTGAACATTGGATGTGTAGTGTGTGTGACACTGGGGGAAACAGAAGGATTTCTCCCAATTTGTCTCCCCCAAATATATGCCAAACTCAGCTGCTTGCAAATGACTATACACTTGGAGGTTATCAGAAGTAGGTCAGGGTTATTCTCCCTAAGAGCTATCAGCCATGTAGACCAAGCAGACACCACTCTTTATCCCACAACAAGTAGGGCCCACTCCCTTCTGATAAGGATAGTAGTTGTCTGTTTCCTTGTAGGAGACCCCAGAGAGGTCAAACCCGCCCAAGGTTAGGCTACCATCATGAATCTAGGGTCCGCCCATCTTGTCACATGTACACCTCTAGTCCCTCCCCTTCCTATGGGCACACCCCTAGCTCCTCTCCTTCCTGTCACGCTTATGCCTGTCATACATCCCCTTCCTACGAGATGTATGCCTATTGTACTGCCCCTTCCTGTGACGTGTGGTTACTTGTAACCAATTCTCCTGAAGGAGATATAACCCTTGGTTAGCAATAAAAGTGGGGGCTCTCTCCTCCTCTCAAGGCCGGGCTCTCCCCACGAGGACCACCAAGTGGGGCTGAGTCTGACTCCATTAATTCAATCTCTCCTTTACCTCTCATGCTCTCTATGACTTTACTATAATCTTTACTTATTATTGCTGTACAATTGCGCCTACCGGACCTGTGATGATTTGTTGGGGACCCTCCTCGCCCCACATGACATTAAATTGTGAATTAGTGGGACTTTAGCTGTAACAACTTATCAACATTTGAAGACAATGGTACTTGATAACCTCTTTTAAAAATTGCCTCCAAATTTAAAACTGGAAAGTCCCTGGAATTTAGAAAAGAATTGTATCTACGTGCTATTTTCAGATTTTGGTACACACATTAAGTATTGTGTACAACTTGTTCATGATGTCTGTCCTGATCTCAAAACAACCTATAAAATGCCAGTTACAAAAGTGAAGAAAAGAAAAGAAAAATAACCTTCCACTAACACTTGGCTTCAAATTTTCAAAATACATGAAGCAAATACCGATAGAACTGTGAAGAGAAGCAGGTAGACCTACAACTGTAGTAAGAGATTTGAATATCCATTGCCTTAATTGATAGAACAAGTTAAAAAACAGTAGGATATAGGAAACAGCACAATAGCCAAGTTTGCTTGATTAACATTGATGCACACTCCCAACAATAAGCACGATCTTATCAGGTAAGCATGAACATTAAAAAAATTTTTTTGGAATATTAAGCAAGTCTCAATAAACTTTAAATCCTAATAAAGACTCACACCTCCTGATTTCAAAACGTATCACAAAGCAATGATAATTAATCTTAAGCAAAATAGCATTGAGAGTCCAGAAGTAAACTCATACATCTAGCAGAACCAGAACTGGGCTCACTGCCATTGAGTCAATACTGATTCATAGTGACCCTATAGGGCAGGGTAAACGTAGCCCTGTGCGTTTCTGGGACTGTCACCAGGAACAGGAGTAGAAGCCCATCTTTCTCTCAGAGCAGCCAGGGATTTCCGAATGGTAACCTTGTGGTTAGCAGCCCAACTCAATGGGGAGAAATAAACTGTTTTGTTTTGCTTTTTAAAGTGGTGCTGGGATAATCACTTTTTAAATTATTTTATTGGGGACTATTACAGCTCTTGTTACATTTGTACTTACGTTGCCATCATCCTTTTCAAAGCATTTTCAGGTTATTAGAACAGTGTTCTTTTGTTGAAGGAGTACTTGAGTAGAGGCTCAATGTCCATCTGCTATCTTAATACTTAACATATAAATATAATGTACATAGATCTATACCCTATTGTTATATGTAAATATATTTACATATGTACACGCCTGTATTTATACCTCTATAAATGTCTTCTGCCTCCTAGTTCTTTCCTCTATTTCCTTTTACTTTCTTCCTGTCCTACTATCGTGTTCGACCTTCATTCGGCTCTCAGTAATTCCCTTTGGCTACATTGTACTTGATCATACCCCACCTGGCATTCTACATCCTCCTTACCATCGATTTTAGATCAGTTGTTGGGGATAGCCACATTCAAGAGTAAAACTGGACCCTTAACTCATACCACATAAAAACATTAACTAAAAATGATGAATTATAAACAAATATAAGAGCTTAAGGTAAAATTCTTAGAAGAAACAAAGGGGTGAATTTTTATGGCACTGGATTTGGGGATGGCTTCTTATATATGGTACCTAAAGCACAAACAAAACCATTTAAAAATGATAACTTGGAGTCCACAAAATTTAAAATTTGTGTTTCACAACACCATCCAGAAAGTGAAATAAGGACTTCTGGCAAGATGGTGAACTAGGTAGACACCCTACCTACACCCTCTACTAGAACGACGTCAGACCTACTGAGAGCAATGTAGATGCTAATCCTGGAGCCCTGAGCTTCAGAGGAACGGCTGGAGATAGAGATTGAATCCCAGCAAGGAGACTACAAAGGAACCCTGGTAGCAGACTGTATTACTCATTGGGTTGCTAACCACAAGCCCAGCAGTTAAAATGCACCAAATGCTTCGTGGGAGAGAGATGAGGCTCTCTGCTTAACGTCGATCTGTAGCCTCAGAAACTTGAGGAGCATGTGTGGTCGCTACGGATGCGAATCAACTGATGGCAGTGCGTTCATTTTTTTTATAGAAGATAATCTCATAAAGCAAGGCCATCTTGAACTTTTATAAGCAGCTCTCAAATGAGACAGTGGCCTGGCACACCGGCAGCTCGAACGGCAAGAGTCTTTGTTCCCCATACTTTCCTCCTGGCCAGAAACGGCCAGCCCAGCCCCTGTCCTCACCAACCCAGCACCTGGTGACATTCCCCACTCCATAGGCAGCCCCTGCTCTGCCTGAAGCCAACACCTTAAACTCTTAGATGTGGCGTGGGGTGCATCACCTCCGCACCTGGAGGTACATGAACTCCCTCTAATCAGACACACAAAACGTGCAGTGCCAGGTACTAGCCACTCCTGAACGAGCAGAAACTACTTCCATCAATGACTTCCATGCATCTAGCTGCCTTCGGGCCCAAAAGAATTCCCCTAGGAACAAGTATCCTGACCTCAGCCACCATGTAAGCCTGCACAAACGGGTGCCCTAACCCCGGATCACACGGAGGTCAGAAGGAACACCATCTAGGACCAATGTGCTGTCCCACCCCACCTCTCTGTGAGCTTGGAAGCTGCCAGCAGGTGCTCTGCCCCATCCCCACCCCCAGTCTTCTCCTTTTCCTTGTATTTAGTTCTCCCTTAACTTTCTTTAGTTTTTTAGCCTTTCTGAGTCTTGTTTTTGTTCATCCTTTCTTCTGCTCTTTTCATGCCTTCTTTCTTTTTCCTTTTGTTTTTTCTTTACTATTCTTTTTTCTTACGTTATTCCCCTCCAGTTTTACCTTTTGTATTTTTTTTCTCTAACTTCATTTTTACTTTCCAACCCCCACTTTATTTCAGTTTGTTTGTTTTGATACTTTTTGTTTCTTTTTTCGGCTGTTTGTTTTTCTTTCCTCTTTTTCCCCCCTTTCCCTTTGTACCCTCTGACAGAAGACAGTAATCATGTCCACATGCCCCAGCCTCATCCAGACCTCCTGTATCACATCTACAAGGAGAGGGCCACTACACATTCATGCATCACTAGATCAGTGATAGTGGAAAATCCCTCAAAAACTTCTCTCAACTGTGATCTATGAACAGGAAATGGAAAATTGAACACTAACATTTCTCTGTTACATCCACAATGGGACCAGTGGTGAGGGGCTAAGCTTTTATCAATAGACCAAATCAATGTGAAATGGTGTGGATATATTGGAGACCCAAAATACACCTGTAAAATAATTGGACACCCCCAAAAGAAAATCACCATTTATTGACCTGTCTACATATATTTATAGTGCAACACATTGAAGAAGTGGACAGACTTTGGGACTCTGATCAGGCTGTCCCTCAATGCAAGAACACTTTGTTCTAACAACGTGGCATTCTGTGATG